AAATTGACAATTAGAGTTTGAACATTCTTCACTTTTCTTTAATTTGTTTCTTTTCTTTAGTTTATTTTACTTTCTTGCTTTTATTTTATTTTCTTCATTCAAAAAAAAAAAAAAAAGTAGATTAGAGTGTATGAATAGACCGAGGGATGAAAAAGGGAGATTTATTAGATTAGATCCACCACCCTTTCACAAAGAAGAAGTCAAGTCTAATTCATCATTTAATTCGGAAACCATGAGTCAAGATGGGGATCAACCTATTAGGACTTTGAAAGACTATTTGCACCCCACTAGAACAACTACACCATCATGCATAATGTTTCCTCCTAATACACCACACTTTGAGTTCAAACCTAGAATGATTCAACTTTTTCCTTGTTTCCATAGTTTAGAGAATGAAAATCCATATGTGCATATTAAGGAGTTTGAGGAGGTCGTAGCTACTTTTCATAGTCGAGTTGACACGATAGACACAGTTAGGTCGAAATTCTTTCCCTTCTTCTTGAAAGAAAAAGCTAAATTTTGGTTATATTCTTTGAGACCTAGATCTATAGGTACATGGGTAGAGATGACTCAAGCTTTCTTTAGCAAGTACTTTCCACATCATAAGACTAATAATTTTAAAAGACAGATCTCCACATTTTCTCAAAAGGATAGTGAAGCCTTATACCAAGCATGGAAGAGGTTTAAGGAATTGCAAAACTTGTGTCCACATCATGGGTATGAAACTTGGAGGTTGGTTAGTTATTTCTATGAGGGTTTAACTAGTAGGAAGCATCAATTCATATAGATGATGTGTAATGGGGAATTTTTGCATAAGGACCCAGAAGAAGCAATAGATTATTTAAATGAATTAGCTGAAAAAGCTCACACTTGAACAGGACCTAGTGCCATTGATAGTACTAATAGGTCACGATCATCTAGGATTTACCACCTTAAGGAGGAAGATAACCTTAGAGCCCAGTTGGAATCTACAATTAAGGAACTTGAGACATTAAAAATGAAAAATAATAGAGTCACCCACACAGTTGCAAGGGCAGAAGCTCAGGCTCCATGTTTTGTTTGTGGGGGATTGGATCATTTAGCTTAAGATTACCTAACCTATGGTGAGATGAGAGGGGTGTATGAAGAACAACGTAATGCATTAGGAATGGGTAGGGAACTTTTTTCACCCTATTCAGAGACATACAATCCTAGTTGGAGGAACCATCCCAACTTTAGTTGGAAGGCTAATTAGAACCATCCCGCATCATCTAGCAATACTTGGAATAATGAAGCTCAACCACTTAGGTCTTACCCTACACCTCAATACAATGCACGACCAAATAGGAATCCTTTAGAGGAAACACTTAAGGCATTTATGGAGGCACAAAATAAGACTAACCAAAAGTTTGATTCTATTCTTACACAGGTGGTTGAAGAAAACAAGGACATCAAGAGTCAACTAACTAAGTTGACCAATGCTCTTACTGTCCAAGAGCGAGGTAAGATTCCATCTCAACCTCAAACTAATCCTAAAAATTTACATTTGGTGTAGAAATCTACCTCTAGTTTGGAGAACATTAAAGGGGTCAACGCAATCACTACTCGTACTGGTAAGGTTATAGAGTCGTTGCAAAAAGCACCTAAATTGAAGGACGCTACTCCAAGTAGCCATGAAGACAACCTGTTGGAAGAACCTGAGAAAGAGGTCCCAATTCGAGTTCCTTTCCCTCAGGCTCTTAGAATTGGAAAGATTTCAAACAACCAAGGTGAGATTTTAGAAATTTTGAAACAAGTTAAGATTAATCTACCTTTGTTGCATGTGATTAAACTGGTACCAACTTATGCCAAAGTGATCAAGGATCTATGCACCATGAAAAGGAAACACCATGTCAAGAAAACTGCATTCTTGACAGAACAGGTAAGTGCGGTAATTGAGCAAAAAACACCGCCAAAATACAAAGATCCAGGGTGCCCAACAATTTCTTGCCAAATTGGGTCACAAGAGTTTGGTCAAGCTCTTTTGTATTTATGAGCAAGTGTGAATTTAATGTCTTATTCAGTTTATTTGCAGCTAGGTTGTGGGGAGATAAAACCAACATCTGTGGTGTTACAGTTGGCTGATCGCTATTGTAGGAAACCAAGAGGGATAATAGAAGATGTTTTGCTTCAGATTGATAAATTTTATTATCCTGTTGGTTTTCTTGTGTTAGATACTCAGTCTGAAGTTAATAGTGAGTAAAAAATTCCACTTATTTTAGGAAGCCATTTCTTGCTACTGCTAATGCTCTCATTAATTGTAGGAATGCTTTGATGAAACTTTCATTTGGGAATATGACTCTTGAGGTGAATATTTTTCATGTTGGGAAACAACCACAAGAAGATGATGAATGTTATCATTCCTACATGATAGATTCACTTGTTGAGGAAGTACAAGAAAGGGAAAATTCTAAATCTTTAGAACACTTCCTCTATGATTTCAATTTAAATTCTGAGTTCTTGCTTTATCCTATTAATGATATTTCTAATGTTTCTTTTATTTTTAATGCTAATTAGGATAAACAAAAGAAGTTTTGGCAACCATGCTTTAAGGAGTTACCACATGAGAGGGAGCAACCAAAGCCATCTTCATTAGAGACACCAAAAGTAAAGTTATTCCCACTCCCTGAAGGGTTGAAACATGCATTATTGGGTCTAGGTGATACCTATCTTGTTATAATATCTTCTAAACTTAGTGCTGAGCAGGAAGAGAACTTGGTGCATATATTAAAAGAACATATATCTGCACTAGGTTGGACTATAGCTGACATTAAAGGTATACGCCTGTTAATTTGTTCTCATAGGATTCATTTAGAAAAAGGATCTATCTCACGTAGAGACCCTCAAACAAAATTGAACCCAACAATGAAAAAAGTTGTGAAAAAAGAGGTCTTGAAATTGTTAGATGCAGGAATCATATATCCTATATCTGATAGTAAATGGGTTAGTCCTACTCAAGTAGTGCCAAAGCAATCAAGGGTAACAGTAGTTGAAAATGACGAGGGAGTTCTTATACCAACTAGGGTAGTAACTGGGTGGTGCATGTGCATTGATTATAGAAAATTAAATGCAGCCACTAGGAAGGACCATTTTCATTGCCATTTATTGACCAAATTTTAGAACGTGTTGCAGGCTATCCTTTCTATTGCTTTCTTGATGGTTATTCAGGTTATTATCAGATTGATATAGCTTTATAAGATAAGGAAAATACTACTTTTACATGTCCTTTTGGTACTTATGCTTTTTGTAGAATGCCATTTGGTTTATGTAATGGTCCAGCCACTTTTCAACATTGTGTGCTTAGCATATTTTCTGAATTGGTTAAGGAAATAATGGAAGTTTTTATGGATGACTTGACTGTTTTTGGTGATTCTTTTGATTCATGCCTACTTAATTTGAAAACTGTTTTAATTAGGTGTGAGGAAAAAGGACTTGTGCTTAATTGGGAAAAATGTCATTTCATGGTGTCTTCAGGTATTGTTTTGGGACATATTGTGTCTAAAAGAGGAATAGAGGTTGACAAGGCCAAAATTGAGTTGATCTCTAAATTACCTACACCTAAAATGGTGAAAGATGTTCGGTCTTTTCTTGGATATGCTGGTTTTTATAGGAGGTTCATTCAAAAGTTTTCAACCATAGCTCAACCTTTGTGTAACCTCCTAGCCAAGGATGTTGAGTTTAATTGGACTCCTAAATGTGAAGAAGCTTTTCGAACCCTTGTCACCAAATTAACTACCACATCGATCATACAATCACTAGATTGGAGTCTTCCATTTGAAATTATGTGTGATGCTAGTAACCATGCTGTAGGAGTATTTTAGGCCAAAGAAGGGAAGGGAAGCCCTTTGTTGTATATTATGCTAGTAGAACTCTTAATAGTGCTCAAAGGAATTATTCTACAATCGAAAAAGAGTTACTAGCCATTGTTTTTTCTTTAGATAAATTTCGTTCTTATCTCATTGGTTCACATATTACTATGTTTACTAACCATGTAGCTCTTAAGTACCTTATATCTAAGAAAGATGCTAAAGCTCGTTTGATTAGGTGGATTTTACTTTTGCAAGAATTTGATCTCATAATTAAAGACAAGAAGGGTATTGAAAATGTGGTGGTTGGTCATTTGTCTCAGTTGGAGTTTAATGACTCCATTATTGAAAGTTCACCAATTTGAGATGACTTCCTTGATGAACATTTGTTCACTGTTAGCCAAGTTCCATGGTATGCTCACATTGTTAATTACTTAGTTTCTGGTGAAATTCCATCAAATTGGAGTGCACAAGATAAGTGTAAGTTCTTGGTTGAGGTGCCAAAAGTTAGGTCCACTAACTCGTCGTCACATGATGCCTCTTAACCCAATTCTAGTCATTGAGATTTTTGATTGTTAGGGTATGGTGTTATTCACAAAGTGTCAATCGCTTACCATCCATAGACTAATGGACAAGCTGAATTAGCCAACAATATAGAGGTACCCAAAGAAAGTTACAAATATCAGAGATAGAAGAATTGAGGAATGATGCATATGATAACTCTAGGATCTACAAGGCTAAACTGAAAGCAGCTCATGACAAGCAGATCCTAAGGAAGAACTTTGAGCCAAATCAAAAAGTGCATCTTTATGATTCTCGTTTGCATCTTCATGCAAGAAAGCTAAGGTCTAGATGGACAAGTCCATTTGTGGTGAAACAAGTTTTCCCTAATGGTGCGGTTGAGATTGAGGATCCAATCCATGGGAGAAATTTTTGAGTTAATGGACAACGATTGAAGCAATATGTGGAGCGAGTAGACTAACCTGAGGAGATCACTCTCGTAACTCCAATCTATGACACATAATCAAGTTTTATCTTTCCATACTATCATTTTTTTTCTTTTCTTTTAGTAGTTTTTCTTTTATTAGTTTCTAGGTTTCTTTACCTAGATATTACATTTTTAGGTTTGCTTTTGTTTTTGTTATTCTATGCCAGTGAAGACACTGTCTCATTTA